CCCCAAAACCCCAAAACCCCAAAACCCCAAAACCCCAAAACCCCTTTTTCTTGAACACAAATTGCGAACTACATTTATAGATAATTATCTTATTTTTGTGATTGATGGGAAGTCTGAAGAGCTACCGAAGAAAGAGTCAGATTTACTCTCTCATGGAGGGAACACATCCCAAAAGCGGAGCGTTTCGTCACCTGCACCAGTGACAATAGTTTGCCCATCAGGACTTAGAGATAGGAATAGTACTCGGTATGTATGCCTTGTTAGTGTTGCAATTTTAGACATAGATGGATATTTCCAAATAATAATCTGATTTTGACTATATCCATGAGTGGATACTAGTTCATTCACACTTTTTGAAAATGCTAAATTGCAAACCTGGCTTCCAGTGTCTATGCTGTTGATATTTTCAAGAGTAAGAGTGTTCCAAAACTTAATTCATCTATCGGCTGTACCCCCTCCTGTTGCCAATAGACCATGCTGATGAGGAGACCATCCTATGGCTTTTACTGCGGCACAGTGATCTGAAAACTTTTTCAGAGGATCTTTGTGTTGTACACTCCAAATAAGTAGCTTATTATCGTTTCCTCCTGAAGCCAATTGTTGATTATCAGGGCTCCACTTCAGACCACATACCTCTTGTTTATGATTATTCCAGTCATAAATCAATGGGTCATTAGCTCTTACATCTCTCACCAAAATTCTTCTGTCTCTTGAACCTGTTGCCAAAATTGAACCATTCCATGCTCAAGCTCCTACTCTTCCATTATGTCCATCAAAAGTTCTTACTCAATCAAGATGGTTGATATCCCAGATTTGGGTCTCACCATTGCTGATTCCCACTGACAAGTGCTTTCCTTTTTGTGACCATGCCACAGAAGAGATGCTGTCTCCATAAGCTGCCTGACAAAGTTTTGTCACTTTGCTCGTTGAAGCATTCCAAACATAAACCTCTGTGCCCAAGCCTACTGCTAGGATGTTGGAGCTACTCCAGTCTACTAGATTAAGGTAGAAATCATCCTGCAGTTGCGGTGCGTCCAAAACTTTATAAGGAAGTTTTGATATTTTTCTCGCGGGTTTTATTTTAGCATGATTATAAGTATCTGACTTCATGCTCATCATTGAAGTCACTCCTGAGTTATACTTCTTAGTCACTTTCTTTTTCTTATACCTCAAGAAATTCTTGTTCTCTTTCTGAGCTTTGGTGGTACCTTGGGTACCAGAATAGCCTGAGAATCATGAATGAGAAGTTTGATCAGATTGGTCTATTCAAGATAAATTCATCTCATTGAGGGCCTCATCTTCACCAAAGAATTGGCTCTCTAGCAAGGCATTATAGTTCTGTTTATTAGACCTATCATCTCTTGAGGCATCAGATCAATCAGAAAAGCTCTTGTTTGATTTTATTTCTTCATTATTCAATATTAGGGAGTGTGAAGACTCTAAATACGACCTTCAGGGAATAAATCTATCCATATGAGATTGCTCATAAGTATTGTCAGATCTAGATTTGATCACAGGGGGAGGCCTTAAGCGGTCGTCCTCCCTGCGAAACGGATCAGACTTTGGAGTATCCCCTTCAATCATCCATGAATCTTGAGTTGTATTTTGCACCCTCCCGATATCGAGATCAGACATCATATTTTTACAAATTAATTATTAATTTTTATATTATCTATCCGTTAAATCTAATATTTTGTCAATATATTTTTTATTTACGGGGTTTTGGGGTTTTGGGGTTTTGGGGTTTTGGGGTTTTGGGGTTTTGGGG